AGGTTCAACTGAAGACTCACAGCTTGTGTGATCGTTTGGTATTCTGCAGTCAACAGCAGCTATACAGTCACTGGCAAAGTATGTGTTCTTGTGTGCTAAACCTGTATGTTAAGTCAGGCTGGCACATGTCAGCCTGTGAGCTTTCCATGTTACTGCCTGGACAGGAAAAATCTTGTGGGAAGAGAGGCATTAAAGTAAGGCACAGACATGAAGACGACAGAGCTACAGTCAACAAAGACGGATGACGATGTTTGAAAGCGCCTTAGTTGGATATCTGTGTTTGGACGAGACAAGAAAGTAATCTAGTTTAAGAAATTAAAACTGAGCGAAGTCGACCTCCCTTCTTTCTACAAATTGTTAGTTGGAGTGTGAGTGAGTCAATGTCAGCCATGTGATGAAAAAGAGAACAAATGTGAGATTTAGTTTCTAATAACACCAGCATGCCAGAAAATGTGGTACCAAAACTGTTTAGTATGACAGTTTTCTCTGTATTGCAAGTTTTTAAAGGAAGTCTGACCGCACATTGTCACAGTCAAGCAAGACCCAGATTTGATGCCAACCCAATCCATGTGTACCATTTCTAAAACACATGCAGTGAAAGATCGAAGGACTGTGGAAAATGTTGAGTATGACCAGTTTGGAACTGGGAGTTTGGAGTAACGCCTCTGTCTCCATCCTCCTGCTGAGCTCACCATTTACAAGTTCAGTAACAAAGCCCAATGAGTAAAAGGAGAACAAACGATGTGTGCGTTACCAGATCTCAGTGTCAGCGCAAAGACACTAAATACGTTAATCAGAGGAGTTCAACCGCCATAAAACACCTGGGAGTTTACTGCCAATCACTACAGATACAATCAAAACAACAACATCCATCTAACGTCTACATGGTCTTTGTAAAATCCCACGAGGCTGGTCCCTGTATCCTAAATAAAAAACAACAGAAACACTACACACTCCACAGGAACACCCCTCAGCTTTCTGACCCTTTACACCCCAAACTGTGATGAAATATTTTTTTTTTTTCCACTCACAAAAATTCTAAAACAAATTTCATTAAAACTTCAAACCAAAACATGAATCCTCTCTGGTTTAATTCATGCAATGAATTGCCTAAAGCACTGAGCAGCTATGTCTAATATTTATAGTACCATTTATGAAAAAAAAAAATCAGATTACACTGTTTTTAAAACATTTATTTAAATAACTGAATTCACCATGTGAAACCTATGATAGATTGCTTACATTCATCAATGTTTTCAAGCCTTCATTTCTATTAAGATGAGTTTCTGCTTACAGCTAATGAACACACAACATTTTAGATTATATCAGAAAAAAAGAAATTCTTATTCCAAAAACGTCTTTTTGCATTTTAAAAAAACTACCTTTTAAAATGTACTTTTAATCTGACTGTGATTATGTATGTGGAGATATTCTAATTTACTGAAAATGACTGTATATAAATTTTAAAAAAAGACAGATGCAAACTCCCTAATCAGCTATAAGTTTTCCTAATGATTATTTTTGATCATATTTTTCTCACCTAGTTTTTGGAAAATTTCATTATTGATTGCAACATTTGATTAGACGTTCAGCTGACTAGTCCAAGTTTTGTGTTTACAGAGCTTGTTTGTTTTGGAGTGACCTTGTTTATACATCTTACAGGAATAAAACTCCAAGATGTTTCTGTTTCAGCCTCTGCTATTCAGATCCAGGGTTGCATGCATGGACATAAACAGAAACTGTGAGGGTGGAAGCCTTCACCACTCAGCATCGTGAGCCTTCAGCAGCCCCTGGATTGTCATTTTCATGTCTGCTTCATTACACATTTTGTTTTAAAAAGCAAAACCCTAGCTCCTCAGTGAGTTCCAAAGTCACGTTATGTTCCCAGAAATACCCAACACCTCCTATTGGGATGCAGTGAGTTTGGAATTCCATGTTATTTAAACATTTATCCCATCAATTAGAATAACTGGTAAGTTCTTAAACAAGTTCACACAATGCAGGCTAACTATTATATCTAATAGTAAAATCAGCAGTTTGTTCTACGTTGACCTGCCAGAAGTCCGGGTATCTCTGGACTGTATGATGTAGTTCTCCAGAACTCAACATGAAAGAAACTTTGTTCACCGAGAGGAAATTGGCAACATATGGTAAAAGTGTGGCAGGACCTTTGGTGGGGTAATTATGCAATGTATGGGGCTGTTTCAGATGAAAACATAGAATAGGACTCTTGGAACAGAATGCAGTCAAATATGAACATGCGTGAGCAAAATTTGGTTATACATTCTTATCTGAGGGATCTCTAAAAGCACAGACTGAATTATTTATTTTTATTTTTTTGTAAATCGTTGCAGAACTAATGTGGGTTGAAGCTGACGACTTCCAACAGAACTGGCTGCATCCTGACACCAACATCCATTATATGCAATTCAACTGTAACCACTGATGACAATTTTCAGAAATGTAGGCCCATCTAAAAGTGCAAGTACAGTGATTGGCGGAAAAACGAAAACCACATTTCCTCTCATGGTTCATATTTCTAACTGTGGTAGATGGAAACTTGTGGGCAGCAGTGTGGGCTACACACCCAAAACAGGGAGGGGGCTCCAAGGAGACCTAGAGCTGATGTTTACCAGTGGTGGTGGGGGTTGGGAAGGAGGAAAGAGGTATTTAACAGCACAGCTTTCAAATGAATACAGATAGAAATCAGAATTTCAAGTGTAATATCTTTCAAAACCTACAAAGTTTACATTAGCAGTCATACCCCTTTAACTTTTCACATTTTGTCACATTACACCCACATTCCTCCATTAGTTTTATCTGGATTTTATGTTTTAGACTAGCAGGAAGTGGTACATAACTGTGATTGGTTAACAGTTATGTGTTTGGATTGTTGGAGAAAGCCGACAAATATAGACAGAACCCTCATGTACATATGAAGATCATAAGAGCTCCATGCAGAAAGAAGCCAACATGGGACGTCCTCACTGCAATACAAATAAAATCCTAAAAATTTAAACTGGAAGGCAATTTTTGATCCTCTCACCACAATGCTTCACGAACTAAGACGATGTGCTTAGGATGATGCGCGCTGTTTGCCACACAGTTTTGCTGGTGGGTCAAAATGAGCAGCTTGAGGCAGGAGAACTCTGCAGCTCCTCCAGACTCAACTTAGGCCAAGGCAAGGGCAGCGTCTATCAGAAAACGTACCCCAGAAGCCTGTCAGTTTAGTCATGCATTTGTAAGTTTGCAGTTGTCCCATATTCTTTCCATTTCCAGACGATGGACTGAACAGTGAGTTGTTCAAAGTCTGGAACATCCCTGCTTTAAACTTCTCAAGAACTGCATTTCTAACCCACCTGCTTGTGTTCCTTGGTTTTAACCAGGGAGAATTCCTACGACCAATGAGATCTTAAACCTATGTATTCTTCCTACAATTAAATTATGCACAAGTTGACTCCAATTTCTAACCACTTGACTTCTGATTGGTTTCAGCATAAATGGCTGCCAAATTAAAATAAGCTTTTTTTTTTTTTTTTTTTTTTGGATATCAAATTTTAAAATGTTTTGAAAAGCCTTTATCTTTCGTTTTAGATCATCTCTCAAATTACTTCAAAACTATGCACTACTTTGTTTTGGTCTCTCAGAAGAGATTCAGGTAAACTTCATAAGAATCACGTTTTCCATGGCCCTGAATATCAGAATGAGGTCATAGTCACATCTCCAGCACAGGTGATCTCCAAAGCTTAGGGCAACACCATTCTGTTTTGTAATATTATGAGTCTTTCTGTAAATTCAAAAATGAAAACCAAATGTTTTTAGGAAAACCCTTCACTAATTAAAACAGCAGCAGGGGGAAGAGCAAAAAAAAAGTCTTTCAGATTATGCAATAGCAACAGATGTTAAAAAAACAGATGAAAATAAATTTTGTGCACATGTGTTATATCTGTCATGAGACATGTGCTTTCTTGTTTCATTAGTGGGATGCCAGTGCAACAAAGCTTGAAGAAAAACTCTACAGCAAACAATCATGAGAACTGAGATGCTGCTGAGCTGCAATCAGTTCCCTCATAAACATGTACTTATTTGATCAGCCATCCTTCCACATCCAAATATTTAGTCATCCTGCTGCTCGGGCCCTGTCAGACTGTTATGATGGATCCACAGGCACATGTTCACTGTAAACATAAGCAGCTTGCTGCTACACTGGACCCCTGCGTGGTGCTTTGGCACTGGATGGAAATGTTCAATCAATATAATCCACTTAACAGTGCTGGGCGCAGATTACTTCAAGGTTAAACAACCTGCCGTACGCTGAATGAATTGCCGCTGATGCGCGCATTTGCGCACTTACAAAAACGTGTTACATTTTACGGCGCCTTCTGAGCGCTTTAATAGGAGGATGTGCTCCATTACTGTTTATCCCAAGACATATCCTGGACCCCCTGCTAACGGGAAGCAGGTGGACTTATCTGCGTCCAAGTGGCCACTTTAGAGTCTCAGCGTATACGTACACAAGCACGGATGCGCATTAATGGGCAGGAAAAGGAGGTTGTGCGAAAACACAAAGACAATGCGGCAGACTTCTGATGCCGGTAAAGTCGTTAGTTCGTCAGAAAGAAGTTCTTACTAAGGATGTTTTACAGGAATTCTTAAGCGACCCACCCGGTGCCACAGTGCCAAAGTTCTCCACTTCCCGATGACGCACGGCAGCGCATTGAGTTAAAGGTTAGGGGTCCCCGCGGAGTCTTAACTAGCGGACAGTCAGTCACGGTTGTCTTTTTAATTTTAAACCTCGACTATTTATGGAATATCCAAATAGTCTTCCAGCTAAGTTTTAAAATCCGCCCCCCCCCCACAAAAAAAAAAAGACAGCACAGCATGGAAACTTTTGACTCGATAAGTCAAATTAGATCAACGTGTACAACCAAGAAACAGATTAAAGAACATCAAGCGTCATTTTAAACTAAAAGCATACCAGCGTTTTCAGTCTCACTCACCTGAAGCTGCGAGTCCAAACAGGACAGCGATGATATTGAGCCCCTTTACGCACATTTGGTCGGCCAGTCAACTGAGCAGTGGGGGAGAAGAGTCAACAAACCCCAGCCTGTTCAAACTCCTTCCACAGACTGACTCACAGAGACAGCAGAACCGAGCGGCAAAAAGCTCCCCTGGGGGAGAGTAAGAAAGAGAAGAAAATAGAAAAAGGTCGCGATAAGTCCTTTATTTCAGCTTCCCTGTCCAAAGACGCTTCCTAGCCTGTCTTCTGGCCTCAAAGATTTGACTCCTAGTACCCTCCCTCCCACTATAATTTCGGGCGGAGTGAAAAAAAAAGAAAGGAGGAAAAAAAGAGGAAGAGGAACAAGATTTGAACATCTATGTCTCATCGGACCAGTTCTGCTGCTACAGGTGTTATGTAAACTGACCATACGCTGGAAAATCTAATCGGTCTCAAACATGTAATGGAAACAATTTTATAACTTAAGTTTTATACACTATAAAAAATAAATTCATATATATTTTAAATACTTTCTTTAATTCTAAACCAAACCTGTTGAAAAAGTAAGACAGCAATGGCTACAGTAGCAAAACTTGTTTTTGTTTTTTTTAAATAGAAAATATGTTTTTATGCCATGATTTTTAAATCATTCTTTAATGCGCTTTTCCGTAATATTAATTACTGAGATGTCACCTCATTCATCTACTTGAAAGTTTGTTTCTGCTTATGACATCACTTCCCCATAAATGCAAAGTCAGTCATTAACGCTGACGTTTTAAAGAAGTCTGGAATCTTAGGCGACTTTATTTTAGATATCAACTTCAATAATGACGTTTGACATCCCTTCACTGCACATTACAGAAAAAGAAAAAAGAGAAACTTTAGTCTGTTTAATTGTGAAGCGGAGAACAAGTACAAGAAAACAAAAACTAAATATAACATAAAGCTCATCACAAATAATAATAAAAAATAAATAAATAAAAATCAGTTACTTGTTGGTGTGTTACTGAATCGTCCAGGTTTTGTTTTGTGGCATTTAATGTGCCAGGGTGATGTACTTGGATTGATTTTTCATTAAAAAAAAAGTTAAATAATATTTAGTCTTGTTTACAAAAAATACCACAGAGCTTCATTTATGTTTAATTCCCTTGCTCATAAAAAAAAATTAATAAATAAGAATTTGCCTCCAAAACAATAGAAGAGAATGTTTGTCACAACTTATTTTGAAAAGCATAACTTTGCATCGTTTAGCCACAGGGGGGCAGAGAAGCACCACGTTATCCATTAACTTTCATCAAGCCTGCCCATGATTTTACTGTTGAAGTTTAAATACTCTAAATAAATAAATAAAAAAATCATCTGTATCTGAAGTTAAATCAGAAATTTATCTTAGTTCAGGGCAATGAAAGTAACTATAATTGTTTCTATTTGCTAATTGTCATTTTAATTAAAGGGTGGGTCAGATATTTATTTACTAAGCTCTTTAAAAGCAGATTGGGAAAGTTCAGACAATTAAGTCATGGCTTTTGAGACCTCTGAGAAATTAAATGACACATCTGAGATAATTGGAGTTACACGTGTGGATGTGTTTCAAGACCACACCTGGAGCTGTCATGGAGGGTGCAGGAACGGGAGTAGGACCAAAGTGCAGACAGGAGAACGGAATGTTCATGAGCCATGGTTTAATTAAATAAGTCCAAATATACTTACAAAAGCTGGAAACGCAGAACTGGTGACAGAGTGTTTCCAACCCTGGTCCTCAACACACACCGCCCTACACGCTTTAGCCATTCCCCTGCTTCAAGCACACATAATTTCAACTGAAGATTGAATAACAGGCTTTCGTGGAACTGCAGTCATCTGAATCAAGGGTCTTAAATCAGGGAAACATCTAAAACATGAACCACAGTTTGTCTTGAGTTCCAGGGTTGGGAAACACTGAGCAACAGTGGCATGGCGCATCCAGAGCAAAGGGAAAGAACCAGCGGCAAGCAATGAGTCCATGAGGCAGAAATACTGAGTCAGAGAGAAACTGACTGGTGCTGGGAAGGTAGCAAATGAGGCTAGATGAGATAAATGATTAGTAGCTGGGGAAGGGGAGAAGAAGAAGACAAAGAAGAAGAAGAAGAAGAAGAAGAAGAAGAAGAAGAAGAAGAAGAAGAAGAAGAAGAAGAAGAAGAAGAAGAAACGTTAAAGTGACTAAGGCAAAACAAAGATGAAACTAAACAAACAAAATAAGAGAAATAATTACCAAATCTAACAAAATTAATCCAAGAGAAACTAAACTAAGAAATAATAAACTAGAATCAGATAACACTAAAACACATGCATGTCCAAACGTAAAGAAATACAATGAAAATAAGAAATCTATACAAGAAATCGATACAAGAAAACAACAAAGAAAGAAGTCCACTAATAGGAGGAAAATGACAGGAACTCACTGTTCCCTTGTTTGACATGACTGGAAAGTGCAGAGAAGTCACTGGAAACAATTTTCAGACATTTGAAGGTGCCGCATTCATCTGCTAAAACAATTATATGCAAGTATAGAAATGATGGGACTTTCCAACAATCATACCACTCAGGAAGGAGACTGATTCTGTGTCCCACAGATGAACGCTTTTTGGTCCAAAATGTACCGATAGACCCCAGAACAGAAGCCAAAGACCTTGCAAAGATTCTGCCTTGAAGGGTCATTATTCACAGTAAAATGTTCCTTGAACAGACATGAGCTGAAAGCCATTACTCCAAAAGAAACACAGGAAAGCCTTAACGACCATCGTCACATTTGAATCAAAAAGAGGGAACACTTGTAAACCTGGGAAGATCATGCCAGCTGTGAAGTATGGAGGTGGCAGCCTCATTTTGTTTTGCTGCCAGAGGAACTGGTGCACTTCTTAGAATTGATGGCACCATGAACAAAGAACAATATCCAAAGACATCAACCAGGAAGTTAAAGCTTAGAAAAAAGTTGTTTTCTAAATGAACTGTAACCCCAAGCATACAGCAGTTACTAGATCCTACATGAACTCTTAAAATGATCGGAAAGCTTACTGTATGTCTAAAATCTGCTAGATTAAAAACTGACTTTGTGGGTTATTTTGTCAGCTGCTTCCTGGTCAAATGTGGACAGCAGGGTTGGATTACAGGTGTGACTCCATGCATACTGGGTTAGGCTGTCAATCACAACATAGGTCTTTGTCACAAATGTTACACCAATTCATTTACAGCACCTTTAATAGCAAATAGTCAAATTTACATAACAAAATGCATTTCACTGTAACATAAATAGTCAATTTATTTCTCTTTAGTTATGATAAAAACATTATGTCAAAATGTAAATTAGTGCATTTCTACTATTGCCTAAATTGGATATAACACACATTGTAATTTTGACAATCAAAAATTAATAGCAAATGCTTTTTTTTTTTTTTTTACAGCTTTTCTTGGAATGGAAAGTAGTGGGTGTTATAAAGTAATCTTTAAGGAGGAGGATACAACAGCTGGATAGCTCCAGCGGAGTAAAGTAAGCTGAACACAATGCAATAGAGGTGTGGCAGCAAGAACGTGTCAGCTCCACATGAAGAAGAATACACAAGGCAGCACAGACAAAGGAGCAACCGAAAGCCTAAAAATAAAAATTGGCTGCGAAAGTAAATGTCAAGATGCATGAAAGCTTTTGTAATTATTCGCAGGCTGGGTGTGAGGGCAGAAAGCAAAGAGAACGGAAACAGACCAGAGAGCAGAAACAGGAAATGTGACAAGAGCTATTAAAGACAAAACCAAAATGATTGTTATCAAAACCCAAAGCGATAAACAAAATGAGACAAAGACTACGCTCACTAACCAGGGAGAAATTTACAGTAAACGACATCAGACCCAAAACGCGAAGAAGAAAAAAAGAGACGCAGAAAGCAGAACCTACTAACCTCTGATAGATATGTTTGCTAAACCATTAGCTTTTCTATTTCTCTGCATGAGGGAAGAACACTGATGCCAGTTAACCGCTGTCGGCTCTGGCAGGCAGGAGCTCATCAACCCATCATGCACTGGTAAAATAATGGACATTAAAGCCAGAATATTCTCTCTGTTTTGAGAGTTATTAATACTATAAATCACCAATTTATATTTAATGTATGTTGCACAGAAATACACTATGACATCAAGTCAATCTATTGTTTGTTCATTGTGAACCTAACAGCATGCAACAACGCAGAAGAGCTTTTCTCTTATATCACACGTATACAAGCTTCTTTTTCCAAAATCCTTCAATAAGAAAATGCTGAAAATTATTATAAATACACTATTCAATGCAATCTGTGAGTGAATATTTTTTTTACATAAAAAATGAACAGCATATGAAGGTTCCAAACATGAATTTTCATAGCCGGAGCTGAAACACCTCTTGAAACCTTGACTTTGACTTGCTGGTAGGATTAACAGCATCACCCAAACACAGCCGGCGTCTCAGACAATATAACTCTGTGCTGTTAAAATGGAGCCGGTTGCTTCTACTGTCACCACATGCTTGTTCATTACAATGGATCGCTGCAAAGTCACCTCAATGTGGCCTTCTTCAAATAAACTCCGGCTGACCAAAATTGTCATTGTCAATTGTCATTATATTGTATTTTTCTTTATAATCATATAATTTCTTTATGAATGAAATTGACCAGGTTTTTTTTCTTGTACACGTAAAATTATATGACAATCATTTTGAAGTGCTAGATAAATAAACAGAATAGTATTCAGTTGGGCAACATTAACGTTTGGACACTATGAGCATTTAAAGTGTGGAGACCAACACTGGAGACAGTGACCCAATAGATTGCAGTGGAGTAATATAAGGGGTGCCAGTGCTGCCAAAATTTCTACCGTGAACCATAAAATTCGGTGTTGTGTTGGTTTAAGGGTCCAGAACATAATCCCTTAGGATAAAAGACACCAAATAACATTCTGTCATAATGAAAGATAAAATACAATAAACTCTTCTAATGATCCAATGCATCAGTTGTCTCCATCATGTTGGAGACAACTGATGGATTGTCTCCAACAGGTGGGTGAAATCTTGCTCTCTTACTTTTTTATGTATTCTTTCATTAAAATATCATCATGCAATACTTCTAGCACAGCTGCTGTAGATAATAGTGAGCATTACTTTGTAATTGTGGTGGATAGGGTCTTGAATTTTTCTGGGAAAACTTGTTTTCATATTCAAATTGTCTATTTGAACACATGATTCTCATCTAGAGTTTCCACTGTATAATTTGCCTAAATCTGTTATTTTGTTATTCCTGCTTCTTATCTATGTTTTTTTTTTTTTTTTTTTTTTAGCTGGAATAAATCAGGAATCTAAATGTTTTTTTCTACAAGCTCCACTTCAGCTTGACTTCAATGAACAGTGAAATCCTCTTGAAAAAACGCACACTTCCTGTAGAGCTAAATGTGTGTGTCTTTCGTGAGTTTATTAGTGTGCACAAGTGAGAGAGCACAGAGAGAGAGAGAGTCTCAGTCTGTCATTAACCAGGCTCCTGAGTTTAATTCAGACTTCACAGATTTGATCCAAACTCCAGACGGATAAAGAAACTCGCAGGATGGGTGTCCAGGTCATGTTCGTCGTCCTTTGCATGTTTTTAGCCACGGTGGAGTCTCTAAAAGGTAAGCACCCACCAGTTCTGCGACATCTTTATTTTTACCGTGAAGTTGAAATATTTAATTGTCTGGAGGTTGGACAAATACATATTTCAGCTCTAAATATACTGTTTGCCATAAGCAAACCCTTTAGTGTCTTTGATCGATCAAAGTTTTAACAGAAATTTATATAAACATTATGGACTTAAATAATTACAAATGTATTTATAAACTGTGTTTGTGGTTGAAGGAGGAGTCTCATTCTGGAGAGACAAAGTTACTCTGACCTGTCCAGGAAACGGAACATGGACGAATATAAGAGATAAAGAAAATCCTTTTGGACCTGTTGAAACTCATGAATTCAAATTTAAAGGCCAGGCCCAATATTATTGTGAATATGGAGAGGAAAAAATAAAATACAGCTTCTTCGTAAAAGGGAAGGGTAAGTAAAACCAGATTTCATTGTAAGGCCTTTGTGCTCATACAGTGTTCAACTGATCACTTTTCTTCTCCAGCCTGTGAAAACTGCTTTGAGGTGAACGGATTCCTCTTCATGCTGGTGATTCTCGTGGATGTGATCGGGACTGCCGTGTTGATGAGGATAATCTATGTTTACACCAAGAAGAAACACCCGAATGTACCGATTCAACCCCCACGAGGTAGGAATGAACAGATCTTATCCCAATATCTGGGCCCCAAGTACTCATGAAGTCCTTGGAATTAATTCATATTTATTATCTTTATTTCTTTAAGCACGTAGAACCCGGCCTCAAGGAGACCAGTCTTCTGCCTATGAGGTGGGTATTATCAGGAACTGTGTTACAAAAAGAATGTTTGATCTGGCATTTGTTACCTTCAACAACTTTTCCCTTCCTCTTGAACTAAAAGAAGCGCCATAAGTTATATGACCTAATCAAAGACTACAATCTAAATCTTTTTGGTACAAGGAAAAATATCTATATTTTCCTATCAAAGAGAGATAGAAGCCTCCAGCATCAAAAAGGTGCATATGTGAGACTAATCCAAGATCATAGTTACTGAAATAATGTCAGCGCTGCTAGAAACACACTTTGTTGTTTGGTGTTTGATGAGATAATTTTTATTAACTCTTTACTGACTCTACATGTTATTTAAAGATGCGGCTACAATGAAAATAATAATAATAAAAAATGTTTAGTCTGTCTTCTTCAAGGTATAGTTTGTATAAACAAAATTATGTGAAGTACGTATAAAAATCTTCCATTCAGCAGAAAGCAAACAGATTGTTTAGAAAGTAGAAAATTTTTGATAAATGAGCTGAGTCAGCACCAAGCACACAGATTTTATAATGGCAGAAGAATTTATTTCTGTTGACACCAAATTGTTTTGCATTAAATTA